GCCTAGGTTTAGCCTACAATTATTCTATTAACTGTTATGAAACGTATGTAATATTTTTACACATAAGTTTGACGAGTCAACAACGAACCTTTAATTTGAAGAATTACTTATAAAACACGGTTAAAGGCTTTATTAGACAAGGGTCAATTACATCACGATTAAATTGTGTATCCGTGTTTGAGAGCTCACTTACATTTACAATCTCTTCGTGGTTTAGTTGGTAGGTCTACTATTCTCACTAATTTTCATGTATTGCTATTTTCCTATAACACTGGCATTCATTTTAGATATAAGAGTGAAAATTTAAAAACGTACGTTTTCATGTCCCTGGCCTTTTACTTCGTAGATACTGGATTTGTAGTTTATTATTATGTGTTTTAATATTTTTTGGGACGGGGGCAACATGTTACACACATTTATTTTGTTTTAAATAGGTTCTAGGTATTTTTTTCATATTTTTAAAGTCTCAAAATTCACGACCATGACGTGTCCCTAGGGTACATTTTCCAACTTTCACGCTGTTTTTAGACTAATTATTCATGCCGAAATATATAAAGCCATATTTTTATGTCATCAATGGTTATTCAACTTACAAAAAAGGAGCATATTATAATTTTATTGTCATTACAAACTGACTACCATGACAAAATAAGTCTGTCCCTCAATTTGGCGTCACGACCATTTGGGAAAAATTTTGAACTTTGGAGCACGACAGTGGCAAGCCTGGCGTCGATGGAGTCAGTTGGTTTTAGAGACTAGTTCGGGGTGTATGTCAGGATTGTAGTGCCGGTCGTTTCGAGTTGAAAGGAGGAATTACAAGATTAATAAAGGAAAGATTGTATTTTTTGTAATTTTGGTGTGTCCATGACCGTAAGTAGTCATTCGATGAAGTAGGCATGGTGTTAATTTTTGTTTATAAGATATTTCAATTGCTTGATTAACGTAGAAGTCCACTTTGTATCCTCGAACATGAGGTGCAGGGCTACCTCCAGAACAGAGCCAAATAACACGTAATTTCACGACCAAAGTTTCACGACCATCGCGGGTTTTTTCACGACCAATCCAGCCTTATGGATTATAGTGTGTTTGGTCGTGACAATAACTTTAATATAATTGTAAATTGAACAGTTTAGTTCAATTGAAACACATATTTTTATTATAACTAACAGGATAATTGAAAGATTGTTTAGAAAGATTTAGATTATTCCAGACAATTCACGACCGTACAGATTGTCCCTGACCATCACGTTTATGATTTCTATCATAAAAATTTCAAAAATTAAAATATCGTCATATTTCAATGTTTTATACACAAAAGAAGCACACCTCTATACAAACATAACGATTTTTCGGGTCTCAGGTAAGTTTTTTCGGAGTTATACAAACTTAAAAAGATTTTATTGGCTTTTTTTCAATTTTTTGAGTTTTTTTATTTTTTTCTAGAAAGACCAAATATACCAAAAGCTTAGTGACCTTTTTATTGTATAATGGTCATAAAAGTAAATAAGTTTATAGCAAAACATGGTTATACAAATAATTTAACTATTTTTAATATTCATTTAAACGTCCGTTATGGTCGTGACAGGATTTTGTGTTTTTCCACTAAAGATGCTCGTTTAAAAAGAAACTACCAAAGATATTGCGTTACCATGAACATTTTATGAAACTTCAATTGTTAATGAAATAAAAATAATAATAAAAGTTTTGAAAAAAGGGGAAAAGAATTTGCAAAGTGCTTTTCCTGAAAACGTACGTTTTTAAATTTTCACTCATAAATCATATAACACAATTTCATTGGACTTGTAACAGCAAAATACAAAACCATATAACCCCTTAGAATGTATGTGGCATTCCCAGTTTCAAGAACAAAGGATTTATTATGTTGGTTTACCTTATGATTGCCATGTTCTTGGATAAAACTTTCAATAAAACTCTACAATCATCAAGAAACAATCACAAGGTGAACCAACATAATAAATAACTTCCTAATGATGTTATAATTGCATTTTAATTGCTTTGAGCTACGTAGCTATTATATTCCCCCTAATGGATTTGATAATAGAAACCAATACCGAAACAATTATCTTTATTGACACTGACGTTTTGAATTACGGCAGATTACGACTATTTCGTCGTGCAAGGTTGGCAACGCTCCGTGCAGTGGGCGCGGCCGGGTTAGCGACTTCCAGAGTTAGCGAATTCCGCCGCGGGACAAAATCGAGTTAGCGGGTTCCGGAGTTAGCCAATTCCTGACTGGGACGGTTAGCCAGTTCCAGAGTTAGCCAGTTCCGACACACGACCGAGTTAGCGAGTTCCAGAGTTAGCCAATTCCTACGTCTCCTCCAATTTTAATTGAATTAAGTATGTAAGGTACCTTTCTAGCACTGTGTTATTCTGTGTTTGAGTATGGTTATTATAATATCTTTAGTGGTGTGTGAGCTTGAGATTTTCAATAGAGCCGAACTTTTTTCTATCATAAATTAAAAATTTACTTAATTTTAATAAAAAATAATAATTTAATCATCTTAGTCAAAATCCTTTTTTTATGCAATTTAATGTTAAGACGGTTTTATAACCATTGCTGATTTATGCTTTTAGGTACTTCTTTTACTTGTACTTACGTTGTCAATGTTTTTTGTAAAAAAAAGCATGATTCTTCTATCTTTCTTCTTAACGTTTTTTTTTTGTCCTAGGACGCTAGGCACGAGCCTGGGATATTGTTTTGCACATTACTTCAGGCTAGACCTAGGGGTTGCGGCATTATCACTTAGATAAAATCCATTGGTGACTTGGCGGGGATCGAACCCGGGACCTCAGGGACTGAAGTCCCACGCTCTAACCATTACGCCAGCTCGCTCCCCTCTTCTTAACGTTAGGATGTATGTATAAAATTAAAATATAATGTTTTTAGTAGATATAAAGATGATATAATAAACTAGGTTTATGTAATAAATTTCACCTTATTTATTTTTTTCAACAGGCAATTTTTCTTTAAAATTATCACTGTGATAGACAAAGAATACAAGTGAATATTAAATAAATAAATAACTATTCCAACCAAAAATAAGACAACTTATTGATTTTGAAATAGTTTAAGTGAACTTACTATAGCATAAATTTACTATTTGTACTATATGTATATTGGTAACTAAAATAGTTTATGATCAAAATAAAAAAATAAGAGAAGATTTATTTGAGGAGGAATAGATAAATTTGCATAGCGGTCTACCGCGATAGCAGAAAAATCCTTAATATCTCCTGCGGTAGAGTAATCATCCTCTTCTTCCGCCTGGTCACGGAAACGTTATAAATTGTCAAGTACGATCGCAGCAAAATCATGAACATTTACCGCGGTCCTGTATTGTGTCAGTTTGCTGATACCGTTTATTTTTGTTAGTCACCATTTAACTTAAAAATGCAAAACTGCTTAAACAAAATAATGGATTAATAGTAGTGGATTAATAATGAATTAATTAACAAAGTAAATATATCACAAATACCCCACCAATATTGTTACTGAATAGTGAATATGTATGCAAGCACAACTGAAATTAACAAATTATGCAACTAAAATTACCTAATTATGCAACTGAAACTGCCAAATTATGCAACTGAAATTAATAAATTGTAGCAAAAGAAACAATTTCTCTGGAGTACATGGATGAAGAAAGCTTAAAAAAATACTGACTACAAACTAATCGATTTACCTGTGGTGCAGTCTATTTCAGGCAGACAAAAGTACCAATTTCTCATAACGCTTGCCACCACCAGTTCTTCCTTCATCATTCTGCTGACCTCTCTAAACCGTCCAGCAATCGCTGATGTAACTCTTGTGAAATGTAAGAAGAGGGAAACATGTACTAAATATGTAGTAATATAATAAACAGTATGACCTTTAGATCCATGGATTTTTGAGGTTCTAACAAAGTCTATGGAAACAGTGATTAGTAAAAGACTGACAGCGTAGCCAACAGTTAATATCAATTTGACTTTAAATCTAACATCAATTAATTTACTGGGCAACATTTCATCAAATTTGTTCAACACGAGGCACATTTTTAGAAATCTTCGGTGCTGCCTTGCTGAGCTACAAAACACAACGATGGCCATTATATTCAACGAGAGTATATCCATTGACACAGCAACTACTGAAGTGTTACTGGACATTCTGATAGGCTTTCCCAGCTGTTTTAATTTGAAGTCTTGGCGAACAGCTGAGAATGACATCACTGTCTGAACCACAAGTAGTGTCAAACCCCAGAGAAAAGATGCTTTTGAAAAAGTGATGCGGTTGTTCATTTCTGGATTTTCACATTTAAATGGGAATCCATTTAATATTCTGCACAAATTTATTACCTCTCTTGGGACGGCAAACATTTTACAACTGGGTCAGAGAAGGGCAAGTTTGCAGTCTGTCTAACTGTTGAACTGTGGAACCTTGAATTTGTTAGCTGTCATTCACTGGAAATACACTTGTCAACAGAATCCACTGTTGACTGTTTCCTTGACAATGAAACATAAATAGTATTGATTGCGATTGGTGTAGCAATAACAGCTTTGATATTATTGATAAAAAATTACTCATTAATTTTTTTTAAGTATCAACTGATAATAAAAAAATATTCATTAAATTTTTAAAGTTTCAACTGATACTAAACACACACAAGAAATATTTTAGATTTAAGAAGCACATTTAAAAAAATAGTAGCATTTAATAGTGTTAAGTAAATAAATATGTAAAAGTACAATGTGCTGGTAGCTTATTATTTTAAAGTAAATAACAGAAAAATTAAAGCAATGCAGGAATGCACTTGAACTTTTGGTTCTTTTGACCAGAAAAAATTGTAATACTACGGTACTCTTTAGAAAAATGAACTTTTATTAGAAACTTAAATTACCTCTGAATTGAGAGTGAAAGTGATCTTGTACAAAGGATCTTTATCTGGAAAACCTTAATTATAAACATACATCAACCAGGTGTTGTAAAATAGCATACAAACTCAACACAACATAATAACTTTGTTTATTGACGTTAATAAATAATGTCACTAATTTCAGCATGTGTCAACAGTGTATTATGTATGGACCTTTACATAATCAAAATGTAAACTAAGAGTCGACCAAATAAAATACTGCTTACAAATACTATAAAATAGCTAAAAATAAATACATCCATTATTTTAAAACATTGATTTAGCGTTTTGGAAAAATTATACATAATGCACACGAGTTGTCTAAGCGGCGTAAGGTGGTGAATAAAAAAAATTACAACTGTCGGACTATTTCCTCGAAATGCTTGTAGCATTATTCACAAATACTGGTAGATCAGTTCATCAAAGTAGCACTTTGACTGTATCACAGCAGATCGTGTAGGGACTCGCATGTTTAGCCCATGTAGGGGTACTTCCACTCTGTGAGGGGTACGAAGGTCTCCTTGATGGACTGGGGGGAAGCCCATCTCAACACGTAGTGGGGACCACCAGCCTTGTCATTGGTGCCTGCAACAGCCAATCACAGGGCGGATTAGAAACAATACAACCAATCATAGGGAGGCTCATGGTACAGCACAATATTACAACCATCCACAATTTGTGACTGCAGTCCACTAGACATTGTTACAAAAAGGAAATTTTTAGAACATGTAATTGGCGAGGTTATTTTAGTAGGAGATATTGAAGCCAGAGGCCTAGATAAGTCACACAACTTAACAATATTATTTTGTTATAGTATAGAACTTTTTCTGATAGACAAATCCCAATGAAACTGTATACCGAGATGAAATGTCAGTGTCATGTTGTGTAACTATTTTATGTTAACATAATACGCTGGACTCACTACACTACTTTTCTCAAGTTAGCTAAAACACAGCAAACCTTTCCGAGAAAAATCACCAATCAATGATGTGGATTTCCCTTGATTTTATTAAATAAAACAACACTTATAAAAACTAACACTAATAACTGATAGTAATGTCTAAAATAACATTCCCTTGGATAATAATAATAGAAGATAGATCATATGAGAGAAGAGCTTCTCTCGTATTTGCATTTGGTTCACTCCAAGTCTACACAAATGTAATGCTACCTATTCTGTAGATGCTTTAGAGCCTATAAAGCTCTTTAGTTCTCTGCTAGTTTACATCAAAATAAAGTTTGGAGTATAGACATACAATCATCCTTGAATTTCAAAGTCTAACTTGTAAAAATTAAAGAAAAACGTCTAATTATTTGCGCAGACAACCGAGAGTGTATACCTGACATTCGTGCACCACCAAAGGGTTGCTGTCCGACCACAGATCCTGTTGACTTGTCGTTGATATAGAAGTTGCCAGCCGCATGCTTTAGCTTCTCCGTCGTCTCGTGGAGCCACTTCCTGGAAATCACAAGTCTTTTATCAAGTAATCCCGAAACAGTATAACTTCTTCTACAATATACAAAAATATACAAAACCAATCCCAGTGTGGGGCTACATAAGTAATAGTGAATGCAAAAATTAACCAATTGTACATAGGGTGAGGCAGTGAAATGGCATGATTCCTGCACCAGCTGATGAGGAGTGGGCTATTAGTGTGTGGGAAGAAATAACCATAGGCATCAAGGCAAGTGGGAATTTCCGTAGCCATGGAGCGTTGGATGAGTGTACAACGTGCCTTTGTTGTAAAGGCATATTTAAAAAATGTGGATAGTAGGGTTGTGCTCAGCGCACTTTCCCATGTGAGTTTAGTCTAATCGCCACGGGCTCCCTTATCATGAGGGAAAGCTACGCTCCTTTGGGTGAATAGCTTTGAAGCCACTGCTAGAACGACAAAGCACTACAAAACTATTGCAGACGTTTTGCAAACACTATGGGCAGATTTAATCTTACAATTCAACAATGTGTACAAAACCAAAGACGCAACTTTACTGACACTGTATTGGAAAAAAATTATGATTTTTTAAGGTAAAACATTAATTTCCACTCATGTACTTAAGATTTAGGATAAAACAACTATAATTTTTTTCAAAATTGATTATTTGCTATTTTTCAAAATTGTCCCGTTTCACTGCCTCACTCTGTATGACTAAGTGTAATGCGTACTTATTGGTTTGGATGAAAATGTTCACAAGGGGACAAATTTACATAAATGAATAAAACCAATGAATGTGATTTTTTTAAACAAAATTTTCAATGAGATGAGATTTTTATGGCAGTTTTTTTAATTGTATGTAACTTATTGCAGCCATGCAAACACAAGTTTTTGGTTCTACTTTTACAATAAGAAAAGGGTTTGTGGTTTATTAAATATGAAATCGGTACGAGACTGAATGTCCTTATTTGGATCAATAAATCAAAGTTAACTCATATTAACTTACTGGTCTTGTGCAAAGATGGCTCCTGTCAGGGCGTACGGGGTGGAAGTGTTGACCAATGATATGATCTCATCAACTTTATTGTCTGGGTAAGCGTAGATGGTCAACAGGGGTCCAAAGATTTCCTCAGTCATGATCTTGTCTTTCGGGTCTTTAGTCTCGACGATCGTTGGCTGTATGAAGTATCCTTTGCTGCAACAAACAACACAATCATTCAAAACAGTGAAATGTCAATATTTATACTTGCACAATAATTTAAAATATTTCATGAGAATATTGCCATGAAAACAAACCGGGGTATTATACTCAGACGGGTACAAATTATTGGCTATACACAAAAAGTGGGCAACATCATATGGACAGGTAGATATGCCAGGGTATGACGATTGTTAGTATTATCTAACTAAATTGTCACCACTTTAATTCGTTAAGTCAGACTGTAAGTTTGAAAAAGAATAAACTCATAAAAACGAATTATGCTTTAAATAATACTGTTAATTGCTCAAATTTGTAATATGAAATTAATGAATTGACAATGGAGACTGGAAAGTTATTTCGTGCATCACCCTCATGATTAAAATGAACAGTGGGACAAACATAATTATTCAAATAATGCCATCTGCATATAAATGATCTGTCAACCAGATTGTCCAGTAAACAATGTAGCTGATTTACAAACAAATTACAATTCAATGTCTAGGATTACTTACAACAAACAACTGTTGGGCATTTAATCTATAACTTGGTAACTTTTTTAATATTTATAGCAACCGACCATGAAATAATTGTGTAATAAAAATAGTGTTTATCAAAAAAGTCGGAATGTTTATGAATTAAAATTAAAGTTTTAACCAGAATACATAAGTCACTTCATATTCTTTTCACCTGTCAATAAATCTTCTGCCTTTTTAAGACTCGTATTATTTTGGTGTTCAAAGAAATACTACTACTTTAAAAGAAGTCATAAAAAGTCATCATTAGTCCTCAACAAATGTCAAAGTTGCTTCTTTTTAATATCTTGTACAAAACCCGGCCTTGTGTTATCTTCGCATCAAACACCATTAACAATATATCATCGGTCTACTTAGACTTGCTATCAATCCCATCCTATCCTATGCTGTAATACGAGCTAAGTCCGTTTGTCTGTCTGCCAGGAATATATATCTCGAAATCCAGTGGAAGGATTTTTACTAAATTTTAGAATTAGGGACTTATAGCCCTAAAAACGTGATTAGTAAGAGCCACTACCTCAGGAAAATTCGTATTTCGCTACACAACTCATTTGAATATTTAACATTGGCCTTATGGGTTGCTAAATAACTATATTTTAAAAAGTAAACAAAATACATGTAACATGTGTTTTCAACAAGCCATCTAGACAGTATACTAGCAAATTACAAAATACAGTACAAAGGGAAAAACATCAGTTGTAGCTATTGAGCAAAGATTACACTGAAGATTACTCGACATAAGGGAAAATAGATGAGTGTTTCGTATTGGTGACATTTGAGTCCAATGGAATTTAAATTCCACTGAAACTTTAATAATAAAAGCCTAAATTAGTTTAAATTGGTTTACAATAAAAATAAACATACCCAGCCATGGCTCGGTCCCTCGGTCCTACTCTATAATCAATTAACTTTGTGAATAACAGTCTAAAATGCCTGCCACACCAAAATAAGACTTTACCATGTAAACTTTTCAGATTCTATGAGATGTTTTACCTGTTGTCATACTGTCCACCACCGATGATCTCCAGGTTGCTGCTCTTCTTGGCGTGGTCGATGTAGCCGGAGATGCGGTCAAATGCTTTAGCATCAATCACTGCAGACATGAAGGAGTCAAACTCCATCACATCCGAAACCTTCAGCTTATCTCTTGTCTCCAGCAGCCCGCTCTTGATCTGCAGAAAACCAAAGTCACTTGAAAATTTACTCAGATGCAATCCAAATTATATCTAACAAATACAATCACATTTGAATTGGTTTTGACCTTTATTCAATGATGATTTCAATACAGATCCTATTCATAAGTTAATTTTCATGTCAGAAGATTTTCTAAAAACTTCCAAAATTACAATTGCAAGTTGTATATGTGTACAGGTACGGAAGTTAAATTAAATCAAAATAAAATTTACGTAGTCAATTTCAGATTACAATTCCAACACTAAAAATTTAGATTTGAGAAATCGCCTTTTAAAATCGTTCGACTTAAGTTGTTGATCTAGACAGTAACTCTAACCCTTTTAGAAGTTTTAACCTTGAGTCGTAGGTTTTTATTTTTTTCAAGGATCTGTCTCCCGAAACACCATCTCCAGCATTGTTTTCTGTCAAAATGATATCAGATAGAACTGCACATCTCCCAAAGTACTAATAGGAGAGCACTAATAGATTTCAGCTCCAATTTTATATACAGTGAAACCTTGATAACCAGACTCTCATGAGGACTATTGAAATGAGACTTGTTATCAAGGTTGACTTCTTATCGGGGTTTCCGGTTTACTTACAATAGTTACAATAACATGTGATCAGGGGTAAAATAAATTCAAGGGGATTTGAAAATGACACTTATCAGGGGTAACTTGTTATCAAGGATCTTGTTATTGAGGTTACACTTGATAATGATGTTAATGATGTTTGCACCATCATTAGATAAAGGAAATTGATAAAAAGTGACGATGATACATATCAAATGTATATTTAGAATATTATGTATATGTTTAGAAGCCATCTATATGGTAAATAGCGTTACCCTTTTTCTACAACATTCCAAATTCTCATCCAGATAATTTGAATAATTTGTATTGTACTGTTTCACAACTCTTCAAACTGCGATATTATCTACCAAACAAGTTTTTCAATCTAATCCAAATACTCACCTTAGGCCATAACGACTGAGGAACATACATCCTAGAGCACGCAGAACACTTCTGGCCGCAGAACTCAAACGCAGACCTGATGGTGCCGTTGACCACGCTGGTCACGTCGGCTGAGGAATGGACTAAGTGGAAATTCTTGCCTCCGCACTCACCTATTAACCTGGGGAAGTTCTTGTAGCTGTTGATATTCTTACCAACCTGCGTCCATAACCTGTTGAAGGTCCTGGAATGGAAGATAACATTGTTTTAGACCAATTGTAAACAACATGGATTTAAGTTCAACCAGACGTTACGCTGAAAATAAATCAGAAACATCCAAAAATATTTGTTTAAAGTTACTCAGATTAAATTCAAATTCATCCTTACTTATGTTATTTGATGAAAACAAAAAAAATAACACGCATAAAGATATTTTGTTTTGTAGCAGTTTGAATTAAAATTTGTTACATAAAATCAGTGTGCAATTAACTACGGTTATTAGTTTAAAGATAAATAATGACTGAAAACAGATCAGTTTAATGGAAAAAACTTTGTTTGATAATGAGCATAATGGACAATGGTATGTTTCAACTTAGAAGTAATTACAAAACAATTTCATACCAGGAACATGACAATGAAATTTTAGTTGACGGGAAACTAAACATTTCTGTATGCCGTACTTGGAAGTAATTTTTTGATACAAATACTTTATTGAAGTATCGTGTGATAGAAGTCTTGTTTCAACTTCAGAACTTGACATAACACCAGGAAACAATAAAATACCCGATTTGCAGTAAACCTGTAGAATAATCAAATTTAAAGTTGCATTATTAAGTTATGAGTAAATTTGCACCTGGTCAATCCAAGGCCATCCTTTTGCCCTTGACCATGCCCAATTTAAACATCATTGGCTCAATAAGTACTCAAGTGTGCTGCTACAAGGAATACAACAATGTTATGTTGTTAAATTAAAAAATCTATATTGAAAATTTACTTAATTGTTGGAATACACATACAAAATTAAGAAATCAATTAGTCTATTTTTCACAAGGGTAACATAGAGGACATGTTGCGTAAACTAAAATTATATTGTAAGTTCGACAAAATCTTTCCCTACTACTCGTTGGCTACTCACGGTACGGAGCCGGTAAAGTTGATGCCAGCGAGGTGGGGCGAGGCAGTAATGTTGTCACCAAACACTGGTCCGTCAGCTGGTACAAAGTTTACCACTCCCGGGGGGACCCCAGCCTCGGTCATCACCTGGTAGATGACGTAGTTGGACAACAACGCTGTGTCTGAGGGTTTCCATAGTGTCGTGCTGCCCTGCAACACAGGAACACACAGTTGCAAACGTCCTACGATGGTGACACAACAGATGAAAAGCTTTGTTACTGTTTGAGATCAGCTGGTTTTTTAGTCGGCCTACTATATTTGACTATTGATACAACTAGACGTTCCATCCCCATGTTTAAGACGTGGCTCCCTAGTGAAATTGTTTTTTTCCCTTTGTAAAATATAGTAGATTATTATAACGGTGTATTAGATCCTAAGAAAATGGACTGATTTTAACTTGTACCTAATGTTCAAGCTTTGCCTATGTGAGTGAGTTGATGACAGTATCATTTGTCATGTTTTATGGCACTATTGCACATTAATACGTCAACAGTAATATTGCAGTTGCAGGGCTTGTACAATGACTTTATAAGTTTTTTTACCTATGAAAGCTTATTCCAAATTGTAGTTTATGAAATAGGAGGGGACTTTTTTAACAAGACTAGATTGGACTAAATTTAAACGACTCATGACACAAAAACGCGCATATTTTAAAGGAAAGATGGGATTTGAACGAATGAGTTAAAAACTTTGTTAATCAAGTAAGGCAAGTTCAAATCTGCACTGAGTTTTTCATTTTATCCGCTACTATTTTAACTGGATCCCACACTGATACAAAAATTAGTGTCATCATAGCAGCAAAAATAATGTGAAGGAAAATCGAGGCCTCTGCTAAGTACGAAACATGTTCTGTTATTAGGTTTCTGTGAGATGTGGGTCATCTCTAATTGAAATCCGTTGCCAGACACATGGTACTTAGAGAGTTAGCCGAAGACCATTCTCATTTGCACAACAAAGCAATGCAAATTGTTATAATATACTTCACAGACAGCCCTAGTAAACTGAAAAAGCTGCGTTCCACCGTTTCCCCCAACTACTTCCTTCGCCCTCGTCTAGACTATGAAATACCATTAGAGCAGGTGTGTATGCCAGGTTCCCTCCAATAGCAGTGAAGTTAAACGGAGAGACGGCAGCGACGAAGCCTTCCAGACCTCGGTACCTCATGGAGTTCTTGGTAATCTTGGGGTCTTCACTAATGGGTTGATACTTGGTCAACTCCTTGGCGAAGAACGCATTCAACCTTCAAGGACAAATGTTCATTCATCACTACACAACAATTACTGAAAAAAACATTCTAACTGTATATACAGAGAAATAGTAAATTATTGTGCATCAACTAGTCATGGAGTAACCTTACATCCACTATGTAAAACTGATAACCAAATAATTAAATGAAAAACAAAAATATTTAGAAATTAAATTAGTAATATAGAAAAGCAAAATTTTATAAATAATACGCTATAGTAATTTCTTATAGTATGTTTGTAGAATATTCTATGATTTACTGTCTTATGTATCTACAACGTCTTGTAACTTTAGAAACTCTTTAATATTGATTTTATATTTTCCCAAATAAAAATTAGAGTAGTTAATTCTAACAAGTTTAGCCACAAATATACACAAAAGAAAACCCGGACCAAAGGCAGAGTAAAAGTTAGGATTAATTAGGTCCACAAAAATATTTTCTTGGTTTAATGGTTGATCAATATTTCTAAACAAAGCTATTTGTATTCATCCAAGTTTTAATTGTATCCCCCCAATCCCAATAATTTTACTTGTATTTTAGCTGAAAACATTTTAAAAACAAATTGAACTATGAACTTGCCCAAATTGTAGTTAACAAGCCGTTTTTAAAAGTCGCTAGCTGAAGTATTGCAAAGTGAAAATCTTATTTCTTATCTGTGTCAAAATGAGTTACATTCAAAGCTTTTTAAAGAATGATCAACATTTCAATATTATCAAACTTAACACTAGAAGCTGAAACACCGAGACAATACTGAAAGCCAACTACGTTGACCCAACGAACAATATTACGATTGTGATGCAATGTACCCACCTCGCTCAAACGTATGACACCACTCCAAACAATACATCAACAAAGTTTCAAAATCAACGAAAACATATAGTTCTCTGTACAAAGCACACTTAGTAAAGCCTATGTATTGAGGTTTTCCAAACAAAAATCATGGAACTAAATCACACTTGGTGAAGCCTACATTATTACTATGTAATGAGGTTTTCCAAATCCATACCGACAATTAGTGAATGATCTATGACTACATGCACTCGGTAACTACATTGCCATATGACCACTAAGTACAAAACATGGCCACCATACCGTATAAAGTCTATAAGTTCAGCAGCAGCATCAATTTCTGCCTGAACTATAGTCTTGGCCTGTCCCAGCATGGTGGTAGCGTTAAGCTTCCATCGGTATTTGTTTGCCATCATGTCGGCCGCCTTCATCCATATCTTGATTTTCTCCTCAAGCGGCACGGCGTCCCACTTCTTTTGAGTTTCCGTTGCAACCTCAATTGCTTTTTTCACCAAGTCCTATCAAAGATTTTACTATTGGACACCTCCCAACATGAAGCCTTACGAAGTTAAAAATGTCATTTGAATTTGTATTTGAAAAAAATATTAATTTTGATAAGGACCTTTATTGAAATTAAAATACATACATTGGCCGACTTTCAATGATCCAGTCTCCATCATAATAAAATATTTGTTTGCTTTTGAGGGTAACACAAAAATAGGGCAATAGACATTGTATACATAGAATAATAACTACAGCTTAGTTACAATTTAATTCCTTAATACTGCAAATTACCAACTATGAGAAAAACTCAATATTTACACTAATTGACAGCAACCATTTATTCTCAAAGAATTTTCCAAAACCTTAAAACAAATATAAAAAAAAACACTGTAAGACAATTGATCTTATCTGAAAATCCCAAATTTGTCTTAATCTAGGTTTAACGTAATGTAAAGAATAAAGATACATTTGATTGTTTCAGCATGGGTATGGTTGGTATTTGTTTGAAGAGAGAGTACTGTATTACCGGTACTCAATAACGGTCTGCTAAATTTTCACTGTCACTAAAGTTCTAAATTTGTGTTAGGGTTTACATGAAAATGGATACTAAAATTTGTCAAACTCTTATTTGTTATGATTAGGTAATGTTAAAAAATTAATAAGCATTTATATTTTCCATGAATTACCGCATTTCAGGAATTCTGTACAGGCTACATGTGAATAAAATTGTCAACCCTACACAATTCATCTAGAAAAAATATAATTACTTAAGTTTGATCCTAAATTAATGAGAATAAGTAGACCTACTTCATACTTAATGTGGAATGTGTATGCTATTTGAATTTATAGAAGCGATAAAAAAAACTTCATTATTTCACAATCTTGTTTAGATTTTTTTGGCATTGATAGAAAAAAAAAATGTAAATACAAATACTAGTAAAAATCCAGTAATGTAAATAAGGAAGTAATATTGTATTAATAGAAGGTGCATCAATGTTTAGTGATAAGAAAACTGCTTCCTAGTGCATCAAAATTGTTCGACAAGGTCAAGCTAAATCTGAAACATTATCTGCAAACAAACAAGCCACAAAGTGGAACCGAGATGGAATATTTATTTCTGTTCAGATTTTAACAGTTATTCATAACCATTTAAAATATATTATTAACAGAAATGTATTACTGCCAGTGTTTTCATATCTTAAAAACCTATCCTAGTAGAATTATTTTTAAAATGTGATTAAAAAGTGTATCAGATTGTTTTTGGAAAATTATTGCCACATTGTTAGTTAAATATAGCCTACGTTGTAAAATGTAAAAACGATACTATCTATAAAAAAAACCTAAATAGGCCTACTGTTCAGTTTACCCATGAAACATACATTATTTATTTCCTTAATTCTAACCAATTAAATCCACGTACTGTACTTACCTTTGTTGCAGGTTATGCCTGATACACTTGAGATTTAAGAATCTTAATTTTAATTGGGAATATTTCTATTCAGCATTTTACATGTATTTAGTTAATGTAAACCTAGGTGCTCTTACATGTGTTAAAGAAATATTTATAGTGTGATACAATTTGCAAATAATGTTATTTAAAAACTTGGTCAAATTTTACTATCAAAAACATTGTTTTAGCTCGGTATCTTAAATTGAAAAGTAAGTCTGACACAAATAGGCTACTAAAAATACTTGTAAGAAAATATTTTATGTAATTGAAAAGTCGTTTACACTTACCGGTGTGGCGTAGTAAAACTGAGCAATCTTCTTTTGATGATCATGAGGCTGAAAAAATAAACATTTACTTTTAAATTTGCTCAATAACATGAATAAGAAAAATTCTTTAAATAAGGTAGGTATTCAAAACTATCCACTGCGAAACCCTAAGAAAAAGAATCATTATGATCATAATAGACATTTTATGGGAATTATTTTTTAAAATTATACTTTAGCTTCACTTCAAATTAATTTCCATCCACGGACACAGTATAAATACCCCCGCCGCAGCAAACCTGCCGACTAAGCGAATTTCCATTTGTCTGAATTGATTTTCAATTAAATATATTTACATAACATAAGGTTTAACGAGTACATAGGTTTGCTGCTACAAGGAAACTAATAAAGTGCGTTTTTTAGTAAAGTATTGATAGCTTAGTATAAAATAAATAAATTTGCCAAGTTTGATCAAAATATATCCATAAACAAGCAAACTTCAACATTTGACAATATTCTCCATAAGAATAACATGGGAATTTAAAAATTACAATTGTCTTTATTTTCTCCGTTACCAATAACCGAACAAAAATACTTTTATATACTAAATTATTTGTTTTTTAAGCTCTTTAAAAGGTAAAAAGAGAAATTGGGAAATTTTGTGTTTTGAGGGTCAAAAGTGAGAAAAACCAATTTTTACCCCATAAAACCCCCCGCAAAGCCTTGTTCCCATGGTACGATCATGCTGGTTCTCGAACTCATTCAAGTTTATCTCGCTTTACACCTTTAAACCAAATTTCATCAAAATCGGACAAAAATTACTCAAGTTATCGCGTTCACGGACGTATATATATAAATCTCTCTCTATATATATACATATATAAAAATTTGAACGAATGGTGTTTTTGGCCTCCGGGGACATCAAAATGAAAAAGGATATTGGTCCCGGGTCTAGGTCTTACCGTGCCACCTACGGTAATAGCTACTTCCCTATAGGGATTCGCTAAAAATAGTTTTGTAATTCCACAATAAACCCTCTGAATCAAAATAGCAAAGATATTGAGTGACCCCAGTTTATTATAGAACCACAATAGATGCCAAAAGCAATACTAGAAGAGAGCCAGTACCTGTGAAGAAACTGTTTTCTTAAGAAACACTAGGAGAAACAAAGTGAGGCTCAAATACGTTGTCTACATTACACTTGACTGACAGAACAGAGATATATTAAAGATATATTTTGGTTGTGTCTTGGATTGTGTTATAAATGATTTGCTGTTAAATAGGTTTTTTCAATGCCACAGGGATGTTACAACAGTAAATCACTTAAAGCTGATATTATTACCTTTAGATGTTAATGGAAATTTGAAAACATAACAAAATTCTTTAATGTCCCAAATAAATTAGACCAGGAAACCTAATGTTACTAGAGAACCCGTGCGGCTCAATGAGCCGCATAGTATGAAACATAACGCTTAGGAAAACTTTATGCTTAAATTCGAGCAATTGTAGCTACATCTTAGAGTTGTTTAAACACTTGTTAGTAACTAATTTTAAATATCTCTGTTTGCGTCGTCAAGGTTCACCTACATTATTTCTGCTCTCAGTTGCAATTGATAACTTCTAATGAATGTTAAACGATCTGCTTCAATTCGAGTTAACATGTTGCAACAAAGTTTTTCCAGCTTTGAGAATTGAAGAAAACTGTTGCCTTAGGCCTACTACCTGTGTTTAGTAATTTAAGTTGGATCATTTTATTTCTTTGATTTGAGACATCCCCCTAATCAAACGAATTTTCTTCGTGGAGAACCCTGAAAAGTTAGGTGATATCAAACATTTCATGTGCTCCATTTTTTGCCAACTTAAGTGGCATAATCTGCTTTGAATATGCTAAAGCAGCAACACCATTGAAAGTTGGTTAACGTATTTTAACGTGTTGTCTGTCAGTCTCACGTTTTTCAGTGGAGTTTCTCTAAATACCTGTCCCAACGTTTTGAAAGTATCGATTCATTTGTCGAAATAGGTTAGATAACTCTTCATCTATGCTTGTAGCTATACGATTTGGATAGCAATTTTCGTATTCTCTTTTTGAACAGCGTATATTATTTGTCTTTCCTAAATCATAAACATAAACTTGGCCGTAACAACCCGATCGTTGAATACATAAATGCTAATTCCTTCACTTATATGTTTGGTCTAATATTGCCACTAAAACTTTCAATAGCAAATTAGTTGTTGAAACTTCTTATTTTTGACTTGAAATGTATGGATTGTGTTGGTAAATTCAGTCAATAGACCTTGTATAAGTTTTCCCGAGGAACTGGAAAAATAACCTAGAAGTAAACAATCCATTTGCGTTTTTTTCTCAATTGAAGTAGAGCGAGTAACACATAAGTTTACAATAAAAATATAAGGTCTGCCAAGATTTTGTATAATCTTACTACTTGAACTCATCATAGTCAAGGCATTAAATATAGTTTATACTGAATGTTTTGAAATATCTAGTTTTGTCAGTGTCAGAAGTAAACATTTCTTGCATGCATTCATTTGATCTGACATTAGGCAAGTTTACTTTACCACCGTGACAACACTATGTGCTTCGTACATTTTTTCACTTCCAAAGTGAGTTGCATAGCAGAACCGTCGATGTATAGCAGAACTGGCAAATATTGTTCATATTACCAAGTGAATGTGTACCTGGATGGGTGTCTGTTAGACCAGGCCACTCTATTTCTACTCTCCTCATACGCATAAGATATCTTATTATAGTTTATACTGAATGTTTTGAAATATCTAGTTTTGTCAGTGTCAGAAGTAAACATTTCTTGCATGCATTCATTTGATCTGACATTAGGCAAGTTTACTTTACCACCGTGACAACACTATGTGCTTCGTACATTTTTTCACTTCCAAAGTGAGTTGCATAGCAGAACCGTCGATGTATAGCAGAACTGGCAAATATTGTTCATATTACCAAGTGAATGTGTACCTGGATGGGTGTCTGTTAGACCAGGCCACTCTATTTACGTTTTCAATATTTCTTCTTTGAACTTGAGGCATTTTCTGTTCTTCCTACAAAACTGATTACCGGTTTAACTTGGTCTTAACCTTCTGAATAAATATTACAAACATTAATATTTACTCCCAAAAAGCAGTTTTTTTTTATAAACAGCTGTTTTTGGCTTTTAAATTTCTCCTATGTATTTCTTATGGAGAAAATCCGACCTTTGAGAGGGTCTCACGCCCTTCAGAATAGGAATTTTAAAATTCTAAAACCTTATTGCAAAACTACATATTGAGACGAATCTTTTGACACCTTAAACGTTAAAATTGGTCTACAAATAAGGGAGGAGTTGCGTTAACAAAAAACGGCTTCACGTATTATATATATAGATTTACATAGATCAATTGAAAATCAATTCGGCCAAATGGAAATTCGCTTGGACGGCAGGTTTGCTGCGGCGGGGGTATTATTTTTTATTAAATTACCCTGAACACCAAAAAGAGATCTAACTGTAATTTAAAAATTAAAAAGTTTTTTTCAACCCCAAAATTAAATATTTTGTTTTTTATTGATTTTCTCAGGGGCAATAACTAGAAATTTTATTTTATGTTTGCTTGCTTAGTAGCTTTGTTTTTCCAGCAGAACAAAAGCTACTGAATAAGGTGACCCAAAATTAAGTTTATAAATCCGAACTTTTTTAAATAACCAGTTCTAGGCAAAACAAATAAAACCAACCAAGTGTTGAGCTACCTTGAACTCAGTCATTTAAAATATACACTAAGACATGACCACGTTTTTAAAACTCATTCTTAAAGTTTTTAGGAAACCGAAAATTACAGATAGAGTTACCTTTATTTGTATACGGCTCTAAATTTAATGTTAAATTTAAATTGTATTAGAGTTTCAAACTACAGCTTGAGCAGTGTGATAAATAAATAAAATTTATTACAATTGAATTGCAAAACTAATACTATGATGTAACGTAAGCTAGTTACAATGCCCATTAATTGCAATCTCACATCTGCTTCGGCATAAAAAACCTCGCTTGGCAATGTTTCTGGGACATTAAGACACATGAGAATACAAATAAAACACAAACACAATTCAGGATAATTGAATAGGGAAATGGAGATTAGTGAAAATGTATGTTGATATAAATTTCTTAAACTAAAATATTTGTTTCATGATAGGTTAGCCTCTGGATCGAAAATTGCAATATAAAATGGTTTAGGTTACCTTTTGCGTCGAACGATCCTTGTGTAGTAAGTGATAACTACAGCTGTTTCATGCCGCTGGGGCACATCTTCAGGTTGTAGAGCGTCAAGATAAAATAGCTGTCATCCGTGGATGATTTTGTCGAAATAAATATTACACAGAAAACATAAATAATAAAACATTTAAATACACGAATTTAACAAACTTGGCCAAGTGACAAACTGACAAACACGCAAGACAGGCGCCGGTGAATGTTGCGTCACTTTTCGTTAAATTCGTTAAATGAATGCGTTAAATTTGTGTATTTAAATGTTTTATTATTTATGTTTTCTGTGTAATATTTATTTCGACAAAATCATCCACGGATGACAGCTATTTTATCTTGACGCTGTACAACCTGAAGATGTGCCCCAGCGGAATGAAACAGCTGTAGTTATCAATTACTACACAAGGATCGTTCGACGCAAAAGGTAACCTAAACCATTTTATATTAAAATATTTGAAGGCATATGGAATATGTTCCTTGGGTAATTTTGTCTGTGTAACAACAACAACTCTATTGTTCAATTAATTGCATTATATTAAGTGTTTGCTAGTTCTGCAGTTAAAAAATATCCTTTTGTATTTATTTTCAATTGATAAAAATTACTTGAAACCAGTTTACAAAATATTTAAAATATGAAAGACACAAGATTAAACCAACTGTACTTTACTATACTTGTACTAACTTATCATCTAAAACTGTTTTAAACTGTTTTATCACACCAGTACCTATGTAATTTTATTTAAATAATTATTTTTTATTGAAATAATTTTTAACTCAAGTTAATTTGTTTACCAAGCTAATAGAAATAAACTTTTTCTGTCACACATTTCATCATCAATTAATTGTAGACTGATTAGTGAGAAATATAACAAATATTTCAGGAAAAGGGCGATGACCAAATGACCACCTGCCCCGCCCTTATCATTATGGACATTACTCTGTGTTCAACGTTTATTACTCTATGTATATAACGGACGACATTGCAAGGTGAGAGGTGAGGTAGGCGGTCAGCGGTCAGTTACTTCACATGAGTGACATCAGCTGATTCTATTTATAACACTCTGGCATCTAGACTACGCTGACCTACATTATACCTTCACTTGCAAAACGGCAATGTGACTTATCAGCCTATAGGATAGCAGTGATTGAAAATATATTTAAAAAAATGTTATTGATGAAAAGTATTTGGATCCTTCCGAAAAGCATCCATGCATGTCGTCTTAGCATGGCCAATGAAATTCGTACATACAGGATTAATAAAAATTATAGGGATCTCAAACAAGTAGAACAGAAAATATCACATCTACCAAACAAAGATAAATTATAAAATGGGGTACCTTGAAGCAGCACCAAATTTTTGGATGTTAAAAAATCTTTGCAAAAGAACAGTAAAAACTAAAAAATTTTCTTAGCCCAGTACACTATTTCTAATTTAGATAAAACTATTATCATTTATACAGGTAAAGAGGAAATACACTCTAACTCATCTGTGGACTTTTTTTAATAAATTAAACCGTTTAAAAAAGTCTGTCATATTAGTTCTATAGAATTAGTAGAACAGCATGTTACCAAAATTATCAGGTTCAGTTGGTACTTGATTCAATAAATCAAATCTGGGTGTTAGATATCAGAGTGCCCTCCCAGATAACCCTATAAACACCATGATCCACCCACAACCCCAATATTATATCTTCATTCTTCTGGAGCTCTTACTTTCTCCCTTTGATTCAAACTCAGGTGTCATTGGATTTAAAAAACGTCAGCAATTTAGAAACTGTTTAGACAAACTGAAGATATATTTGTTGTTATCAGTAAAATAAGTAATGTAGATCATAGCTTCGAATGGGAAACGTAAGATTTATTTACTTTCCAAAAATTCTATGCTCCCTTGAGTTTTTCAATTTTTTCATTTTTTATCAGAATTTATATTTACCCTCCAATAATACTTAACATTCTACGACTGAAAAAATACAAATTAGTAATCTTACCATGACTTGATATCTGACATCTTTCGTCCTGTATTCTTGACCACCAATTATAATAGGAACATCTTCGGTTTTGCTTGAAACTTCTTTTAAAGCTTTTTCAAGCTCTTTCCTTTCATTGCTTCCAGGTAAATAACCTGTGTAATAGGAAAAGTGGTGAAATAACATTTGCAGCCCTGTCTAAAGAGATTTTAAATAATTACAAGTAGATTAACACTTTGAATCCAATTAAATTCTTGTTTGCATTCAGTTTCAATAGAGTAAAAATAATCACAAATTTTGTTTTCGCTAAATAACTTCTTGATTAGGATTATACAAGTTGAAGAGGTAGGGACAAAATAAAATAGTCTCCAAAGACAAAGTCTCTTATTGGGCCTGGTAATGAACCATATGTGACATGTCAAAATCTAAGACCAATGTAACATTTTATATAATGTGTAGCGTTTTAAATGTCTTATAAACTTACAGAGTACGGGTATATAATATTTCAGGAAGTCATCTTTAATTATCTGTATGATTACTCTGTCAGTGTGGAGATACTTGATAAATGCAAATTGAATAATGGATATAAAGGCTGCATGATGACCTTGGTCCAGTGACATAGCTAGGATTTCAAAATAGGGGGGGTCGACCAACCGGGGGGTCTGGGGGGTAAAAATTTAAAAATATAGGCCCTAAAACGGTCTATTTTAGCTCTCTTGGCATTGAAAGTAACCAACCCCAACGTCAATACAGTATGATTGTATAGTTTTACATTAAATTTAACAAAATATTATAAACAAATATTATATTTAAGACCAGAAGGGGGGGATCCGGACCCCCCCCCCTCTGGCTACGACACTGCTTGGTCCAGTGCAACTACGAACTCACAGTGTTACATTTATGTCAACATCAACAGCTAACAAATAAACCAAGCAGATTTATAAACTAACTCAAACAAACATTTGCATTTTATTTTACTGATTTTTTATTATGAGAGCCCATTATAGTAAGTATATTGTTCGCCTCAAGGTCAAAACTAGACCAAAAATGTATGTATTGTGCAAACTTCTCCATTTTCACCCAATGCTGTAAATAAAAGAATAAAACAACATTTCTTCCATGAGTTTTGATTTTCTGTTTATATTTCGTTGTTATTTCGTCACCAGCAACCCATGTTTAATTTTTTTTATTTTAAATTAATTTTTTGTGCTTATTTTTAGCCTATTTCAATTTATAGAGGGATTCTGCCTATTTACAGGCAAATATCTTTCTATGACTATAAATAGATTTTTTTCTGCACACAAACTGAAACAGAGGGTTTTCAAGAAACATGTTTGCCTATTATTATATGGATACTTGTTCTTCCTAAATCCCCTTGAATTTTTGTATTACAGATAATAGCTGTAAAATTAGCCTGACATTAATGGGATAGATACGATGGGATAGAAGAAAACAAACATTCAGTGTTTTAGCTACAATATTCCAGTAAACATTAGTGATATAAAATGAACTGGGACATTAATTAACATCCAAATCCCACTGACTGATATTTTTAAATACTTTAAAGACATGAGACTGGATGTTTGTACAAATGACAGATAACAGCCTGTCTATCATCTCAAGGGCTAGATAAGCTTCTGGTCCAGAGTCCACTTAGTCAAAGTCTTGGTGTTAAAGTGGGTAGTTGTTGCTAGTATAGTGGTAAAGTGGTAATGTATTATCGGTTACATTACATACAAAACTAACACTACTTACGTAAGTGTGGAATTAAATCAATACTTTTCAGTTGATCACAGGTAATTAATTATGAAGGGATAGAAGATTGTTTAAGATTTTGATATATGTATTTTACTTAGATTTAAAAGTGTATCTCACAGTAAGGTCAAACAAATGTAAATATATTATATGTAGGTAAGTCATTAAAACATTTTGATCCTCCTATTAAGTAATGTTTCTTGTATAATAAAGATAATTAGGCATACAAGAACCGTTCTTCAAAAGTTAGGTCTAGTATTGCAAAATATTCATACGAACACCCTAAGTTATTATAAATTTACAATTAAGTTAAACTCCAATATAGCAAATTCCTCAAGATTTTAATGCAAGAAACGTCCAATACAGCTAATTCATGGGTGTAGTTTGTTGTAAAGAGTCTCTTGCAACAGTCTTCTTGGTTAGAGTTTTACTTAAACAGAATGTTAATGTGAATGAACACAACTTACCAAGCACAGGTTCGTTTTGGACTTTAAAGTCTTCGATATGAGGGTCTTTTATTATTCCTGATACACAGCTACCCTGATGAATCATTCTGGAAGAAAAAAGATTAATTACAACACTGAGTAGTTATGAATAATTTCAAAACAGTTGTTACATTAAGTTTGTTGACCAAGACTGCGATGACGGATGTCTGACAACACCTATGCCCTCTTGCATTTTGGCACCATCGATTGCAAATCAAACTGTAGCAGAAGCCAAGACACAATTGTTTGGCATTGACATCCTCTAGGTCGTGCAATTACCATAATTAAATGCTGCTGTAACCATATCACAGTCTGATTGAATAAATATCTAGGCCTAAATAACATTATGATGTTAAGCAAATTCTCTCCTAATTTTTACTACATGCGTCATTAATCAAATACCAATCCTCGGCTCAGAGATTACGTCACCTATAAAATAACAATCAGCTGTTTAGAGTAAGATTCTATCTGCAAACTGTCACTGATATTTACGCTACGAGATGTTTACAGCTAATTAGTGACATGTCGGTCTGATATCTTACTAATATTATAAATGTGAAAGTTTGTGTGTTTGTTTGTTTGTTTGTTTGTGTGTTTGAAGTTCAATCACGCATAAACCACTGGACAGATTGGGCTGAAATTTGGCATGATGATAGTTTACATTCCTGATTAACATATAGGCATATTCTTATCTCAAAAATCCTTTCGGGCTCCGCCCCAGTGGCTCTGTAATTCCCCATGTTAACCTTATGAGTATTCATATTTAAAGAGAACGAGGTGTTAGCCTGTCCTACGTACGGGAGTAGTCAGTTAAAACTGTGTATAAATCAGAACAGCTAGCTTACACGTATACAGACAAATTTTATAGGAGCCTACAGTAGAAAGAGTAATCATCAATTGAGAAAGTGTATAGGCCTAGTCAACGATATCACCTTCTAATTCTATCGCATACCTGCCTCTTCCATAATCAATATCAACACAATACAATTACTCATACTATACACAATTTCCAGTAGGTCTGAATAGAAACTCCCTAAAATAAAACGAAAACATCCAATAAAATTCACAGTACACATAATTATAACGTTGGTGTCCTGACATCATTAAACGAATCGTCCACACACATCCTTTAAATCAATTTCACTACATCAATAATTTGTGCTAAATAAATAAGTGTAAACAGAGAAAAGTAAAAACAACAACATATAGTTTGTTTTGGTAAACAGCTGAGTCAAAAATAAAATAATATCCATTTGAACAAAAGAACTGGTCACATGTTGAAGGAATTTAAAAAGTAAAAACGCTAGTAAAGCTAGTGACGCAATTAATTGTCTATGTTTATTATCCATTCCGTTATCAGTTCTAATATCCTTAATAATTAAACCACCCTCATTGAATCAATGTACACCATAATTCCCCATATTCATTTATTTAAACTATAAAATATTCAGGGCCTCCAAACGTAACCACAACTAAACACACGCCAAACAACTTTTTAGATTTCATAAAAGAATGGTTAGTCTAATTTCAGTATCCTAGGCCAATGATGACGTTGTGCTCAATCTGTTTATTCATATCTGTATTGTACAATTCATATCTGTATATCTTTGGATAAAACCCGTCTGGGTTGTGGTGGTAATTTAAAATTCTATTCCTAAGGATTCTTGATCTCCTTCTTTATGACATCAATATTTCCGGGCCTAATCCAAACAAAGTTTAATCATTCAAAAACATTGATTGTAAACAAACCAAGATGAATTAAAACGTGTAAAATGGATTTTCCTACCCTTTCCTAAAAAAGTTGAGCAGTATAATAATTTGCATATCCTTTTTTAAGACTCGTGTATAGAGCCTCGACTTGTATACATCGATGGTGTTACTTTTCTCGGTGGTCTACTAATCTTACTTATTTCCTAAAAATCAATGACAAATCAGAGTAAATAAAATAACCTCATAGTTCTACAGAGCATTTTTATATTTAACCAGCTGTTAGTTAAAAGAAAATTATTTTGCACTAAAACAAACCGAAGATTACAAAGATTTATTTAAAATATCCTTTGAACATCCTAGTATTTTACCTATGTATATTTAAATAATCTGTCATCCTCTTATGGAAGGATTGAACGTATCAATGATTAGCATTACACATAGTATAAATAAGTCAACCCTTAGTATGTCTTTTAATTTTATCCAAATGCTGAATTTGTGTTACAAACGCTGAATGTTTACAGCTGTTATGTTAAACAAATGATTATATTACACCAAAAGCTAGTTTAGAATTTTAGCGTCGGCTGCTAGACTTTTCAAAAATTAAAACTTAATTTCTAAATAACTGGGCCCTAAACTAAAATTATGGCTTCGACATTCCCTAGTTCTCAAAATTATCTTTCTTTCAATACAAAAATCATGAAAATCCGTCGAGTGGTTGATTCAGAATCGTGAAATAAAAAAAACCCCATTTCGTTTTAATATTATATAGATTAAAGAATTTAGTCAGCTGTTTCAACCAAAAAAGTTGGTTCTATGATATGGAAAAGCATTAAAAAGTTATACGATTTACCAACAGGGTGCAGCACTATTTTTTTGCGTTTATGAAAACAGCTAATTTGAACTAAGCAGCAACAAAAAACTGTGATTCGCAATGAGAACTGTCAAAGTAGGATTGTTTTTATGTTTTGTTTATGTTTTTCATTTCATGAATAATTTGTGATCTTTTGCAAATTGTTGATGATCTATTTTTCTCTATTGTTTAGGTGAAGTGGTAGAACATTATGGCTATGGTAGATCTGTAATACTATAGAATACTGTAAATTTAAAAAAGCAAATAAATGTTATCAAACGGTGTCCTCCCTTACGCAAAGCTTGAGTATAACTGCAATAAGCATCTTATACTTATATTCCAACCCCGTACGAAGGACGGGTACTCTGCTAGTTTTAAATAAAAAACTGCAAATTTAATTTGTAACCAAAACTGCTGTTGTGAATTAAATACGTTTTTGATTGGCTAAAAGTTGTTAACACATTATAAATGAACTGATAAAATATTTTTGGAAGATGCTAGTAGCCATTGTTGCAGAAGCTACCATCCAAATGATTTGCCACAAAGCATTAATAATAAGCAAATCTTTTTTTTTACTGAGTTAATAATTTGTGATGTGAATTAATTTGAGATGGAAGCGAGTATGGCAGGGGGCTTTGGTAGTTACTATATAATATGCATTACAGAACTCAGTACTCACCCTGATCTCATAGGCTGTGTACAGGCCGGGTTGGAGTATAGAGTGAATATTGCCCTCAGCTACAATTAACAACCCCCACCCACAAAATTTGTCAATTGAGTTTTACTGCTTTTTGGAGGTTATTTTTATAAAACTAATAAAAACACTAACTAGTAAAAAGGTGTTGTTGAAATTTGGCAGCCTCTACTTGGTCCGTCTTTGGCACCCCCTTTATCTTTGGCACCCTCTTGGTCCCATTGGGCTATAGACCAGTCAACCCATATTTGAACAAAGTGAGGACTGCTGTGTATGCCAGGATTTTTGGAAACTGTATCAGCAGTCTAAAGTTTTGAGAATTTACTGTTTTATGATGTAATTTTCATGATTAAAAATAAAGATTCCCTTTTATCTTAAAAATAGTGTAATTTGTACCAACAAAATTGTTAGGCCTACTAGTTTCATTGAATATTATATCAATGCTCATTAACTTGAACCTTCTGGGATAGGATCTTACAAATTTTATAGGAAAGTAGTTTTGAAATGCTAAAGCAAGGATGTTATCTTGAAAGGCATCCAAAGTCATCCTTGGATCCAAACTAAACATGTAGCCAGCAGCTGCCAAAACATATCATCCTTTCAGCTAAACTAAACTCTATGAAAGCCCTTTTCTTCCCTGGGGGATTATCCATTGATTAAACCTAAATCTCAGTCAACAATAGTATTAGGGGGACACAGCAAATAGGGATTCTGAACAAAGTAGCAATACACCTGGTCAGTGATATTACCAATGCATCAACTTTCACCCAAGCCAATAACCGTATCATTTAGGCGAGCTTAAACAGCTATTTTCCGGCATAAATGCTTGACTAAGACAGTATTCAAACTCTGCAGGTATTCTTCATGTCAAATCAATAAAAAATCAAATCATTTTACCACCTGCAGTTTAACATTTTGGTGAAACTTAGTAGGCCCTAAATGTATTGCTTTAATTTAAATTTATAGACAAATAGAAATAACTAGCCTAAAATATACAACGTTTTATTGACAGATCACTAACGTTTCAATTTTATAGCTCTGAAGTTCTTATCAATTGCCAGCAGCTGCTTTCCCAAGACCCCAGTATAGTGGTATATTATCTGAATGTATTTAAATTAAAATAGCCTAGGTACTTAAAAATTAGGATTTTAAATCAAAACAAAGTGATTTCAGAAAAAAGATTAATTCTTCATCATAGACAGTGTCTTATATGAACAGCTTTTAACCGGACATCGGTTTAACTGGACTCTAGACATCTATTTAACCGGACAATTTTCATTAGCGTATTGGTTTAACTGGCCTGGATTGGCAGGAAGTGGACGGTCAAGAGAAACACCTTTTCTCTTCGGAAAGATTTGAGACCGGTGATCACGTGCCTAAATACAATTCCCTCCAAAATTTTAATAAAATATTTGGGCTAGTGTTCAAGTGATTCCCGTGGGGTGCACAAGTAGTGTTAGTCATGTTCATACAGTGTGTACTCTTAATTGTGGTTGTACAACGTTCAAGTACAGTATATTACTGTGCATTGCCCAAATACTGATGTGCGAATTTACTTTTCTGCAGTTTTAATGTGATTCCTTATATATTTAGTGTGGTTTTTTTTAGAAACGAGTGACAAACGTAGGCATCAAGTTGTGACAATAAACAAAAGCTTAATGCAGTTGAAAGCATGGATAAAGGAGAATCAGTAAGGCTTGTTGCACACACACCGATTTTGTGAAACGACTGGTTTTTTACCGGTCGTCCAAATTCCAATAGTGAACCACAGGAGGGAACGGGACCTTGCACACACGTCGACCGCTGATCGGCGCCGGTAAATGCCGATGAGCTCCCGGCCACTGCCACTGCATACCGCCGGTGCCGGGGGTTGGCTGGCGACGCAGTGGCGTACGTAACTAAATACAAGCTTGCACACACACCGATTGTTTACCGACCGTCTGGCAGTTCTCGCTAAACCATCCTCCATTTCAAGCCACTGCTCTTCTGACATTTTAAATTATCTTTGGTAGTTTATAACGTTTTAAATGGGTGACTTTGTAGATTAGGATGCTATTGACATTTTGAAAAAAGGTAGTTGAAAATTTTACTGCTATCAAGCCTTAGTTCTTCAAAAAGTGTGTGGAATGTTTCCGTTTTTTCTCTGCTTTGATTAATTGGATAAATCCAGAACATACGTTTAATCATATGGCGCATAATACCTACGTCGATACAATAACTACATAGCAATCTTAATCAAATTGTTAGGGAATGTGACGGTTTAATCAGAAAAACCGTTGTCCAGGCCACGGTCCTGAGGAATACTGATAAGCAGGAGTCTACTAACTACCATTTATTTTTATTCCTGAAATTTTAAAATATAAAAAAGCGGATTACAGAGGTTTTATTTTTTCTAAACCTAAATAATCTACAGATGGGATTGAGATATGCCCCCTAATCAAACAAAATCTTAATCCTGGTGACATTTTATACTGTGGCCAGTAGGCCTAATGAACTGATGAGTTTTCTAAAGTAAATTATTACGGGCATAGGCAGCCCAACATAAAGGCGAACAAGGCACGCTTTTCAGGGGCCCCGCACAGCCGTATTTCAGGTATTAAGACAGGCGCTATTGAACTTCACTTTGACAATCTCTAGGGCTGCCACTGATTACGGGCCTACTAGCATAAATTATAGCATAAAATATAGGTAGGCCTACCTATCCTCTAAGTTAGGGCAATTCGATAAAAATTAGCCCAAGATCAAAGGAGCTTACTACACGGTAGACTGAGAGTGATAAAAAATATACTAAATGATAAAAAATTAGACCTACGCTTACTATTTTTTTAATAACGGTAGAAAATTAAAATGTTAGATGAAAACAATAAATAGGTACCGGTACCACTAAGTGTCTCAAAAACTGTCTGAGTTTTGGCAATCTTAAACTGTTCCAGGGCACTAAAGAGCATACTGACCTCGCATGCCTAGCAACAATTTAATTTGTAACAAGAAAATAAAAACTTTAAAGTGATTTAAATAACTTACTTTATGACAATTTGTCTTAACTTAGCATTATAAGATCAACTTTTTCCTTAAAGATAGCTCAAAACACAAAACACCAAGTCTACTAATAAAGATTAAATTTCCCAAGTAATTTTAAAAATTACCTGATTTAAAAAAAGCTTACTATCTGTAATGGGTTCGACACCTGTACGTACTCTTTAACAACTGAAGAACATGTGACCTGCCTTGTGTGCTAATAAGACTAATTGCCAGTACTTAAATCCTAACTTGGCTCCAATGGAAGGTGTTTTACAGGAGCATGAAGTGTAAACCTGCAAAACTTTCCATGAATAATTTACCTACACTTGATTGTGGTATTCCTTCTAAAATAAAAACTTCTTTATTACAAAACTCTTACCGAATTTAACATAAATTAAAAATAGAGAGCTTGACCTTCCACCAAAGTCAGTAGCCAGGTTCCAATTCATATCCTAAACTTAGCGGGCTGTGGAAAGGATGATTACTTTAACTACGGTACTTTATTCCTTACGGTACTTTATAACCATATAAAGTACTTATTATATTTTACTTTATTATATAATATTTATATCTTAAATATATTGAAACTAGCAGAGTACCCGTCCTTCGTACGGGGTTGGCGTATTAGGGTTGGAGTATAACTGCTTATTGCAGTTATACTCGTGCTTTGCATTTGCAATGGGAGAGGACGCGGTTTAAGAAAATTAACGGCATGCTATAGTATGGTACAACTACCATAGCCATGATGTTCTACCACTGCACCTAAACAATAAAAAAAGTGAAATTCTCATTTTCACAGCTTTATGTTGCTAGACCATTCAAATTAGATGTTGTCATATATGCACAAAAAACTAATAGTGCTGCACCCTGTTGGTAAACCTTATAAATTTGTAATGCTATTTATTTAACATAATAGAACCAACTTGTGTAGGCCTAGTTGAAACAGCTGAAAAAATTAATATGAATACTCATAAGGTTAACATGGCAAAACTCCAGAGCCACTGGGAGTTGTTCCTGCACTGGGGCGGAGCCCAAAAGGATTTTTGAGATGAGAATGCGTCTATATATTAATCGGGAATGTGAGCTATCATCACACTAAATTTCAGCCCAATCCGACCAGTATTTTTCGTGTTTACTTGTCACAAACATCCATCCATCCATAAATTCAAACTTTCTCACTTAGGCTATAATATTAGTAGAATAGTATAACACTATTCAAATGGAGATTTGCTTTCCAAAAATGCCTCTATTCAAACATAATCTGTTTAACAAACCATTTTAATTTTTAGCGGTAAGCCTACCTAACAATAAAAGCCCTGTCATAAGCGGTAGTCACATGATGAGGTATACGCAATGTGATTGAAGAAGAACGAGAAATTTGTGAACTAACTTACCCTGAGACACAAATTTAAAATCGGATGTCAAATATTTTGGGGAGCCTGATTTCAAAATTTAAAAACCCAATTAAAATCTTTAGGTAGCTTTAGTAAAATTAAAAAAATAATTGTTAATGATCCATTTTCACTGCGCAGTCTAAAATTCTATTATCTGCCTTTAACTTAGTATAAGTTAGCCTAAACGTACTCTAGGCCTAATTGATTTGACATAACCTTAAGTTAACTTAGTCTAAAAGATTATAAGTTAGGTACCGGTAACAGTAAACTTAGGCTAACTTAGTTTACAAAAAGCTGTTCTATCAGAGTACCAGTAAGTTAAAACTAAATTAACTGAGTTAAAAAGTTAATGTAGGTAGACCTAAGTTATGCCTATTAGCTGGAAAGCCTAGAAGTCAACTAAGGATAAGTTATTTAAAGGTTTGGCTTTGAGAGTAGGTAAGATAAGAGCAGGTTTTTTAAGTTAATTTTGTATGCAACCTCAAAATCTTTCATGACTAGACATAGGCCTAGGCCTAAACTTGTGCTAAAAGGTAGAAACTACGATATATTAAGTTATCGGACGAAACATTAAGTTTGATGTTATAGTTTGACGTGTCTGATAACCTATTGTTTTCACACAAAATATTGATTGTGTATTGAATAGCCTAGCCTAACTTAACTTAAGTTAGCCTATGAAAATTTTAAACAAACTTAGAATTTTTTTAATGAGAATATTTTACACTGGCAGCTAGGATGTAGGTTTAGATGCAAAGTGTCAACCCTTGGATTAATTTAACTTAACATAAGACTGGCTTAATTCATTGACCTTGAAGTGCAAGTTAAATCAGACTAGTTAGGCCTATTGACAGTGGATTCATTGACACAAAACAATTGGAACTAATTAGACTATAAATGGGCGTCAATGGGCCAACTTCTGGTGGTTGTAGAGAAAAATTGATCCCTGACCTCAGACATTTCAGAACTAATGGTGTCCCTTTTGATATTGATTCTCATTATTATTAGAAATTGTGTATAGCCTAGGCCTAATTGTGACAGTGGTGTATCGATCATTAAATGTGTGATAAGTGTTTGTAGTCCTTTACAGCACGAATGATATGACAATGACAAAGAATTAACTATAGACCTAAGCTTACCTTTTGAAGTTCACAATCACACTTTGTCGACAAGCGCTCAGCATTTTGATGGATATGTAGTTTTTTCACTCACTTATTTCAAAACCCAGATAACACTAAAAGAAATTTAAGCATTGCACGCTACAATTGCACACAAAATATGCCCTCTCAAGCCCCACAAATTGATTTTTCGTTCGCTTCTACCTAAGAAATCGCTGACGGAAAAGACAACAACATAGCAAACCAGAATAATTTTCTCCAGTCAGCTGAGCAATAGTCTATTTCCTGTTTTGGCAAATACACCTGACATGCGCAATACAATTACTTTAGGAAATCAGATATCACTGCTTACTGTATTTCTCAACACATTTAGCTGATACAGTATTCACGAACCGTACTATATTTTGTACCATAATAAGCCTCAAAAGAAATTTTAATGATTATTATAAACGTTTTGTAGATAACATAATTTTTTCTTATTTAATAAACTTGTTGGTGACTATTCTTGTTAAATAGCCCACACAAAGCATAATTTTGCGTAAAAACATATATTAACCCACCCAAGGGTATTTTCTGTATTAAAGGCAAAAGTAGGTATAATAAATACATAAATTCATTTCATATTGGTAAAAAACCTTGTACTATTCTCTTATTTTAGTTTTTATTTTAGCTGTAGTTGTACTGACGTTTTCCAGTAATGTAACCCTGCATTTCGTGGAAATAAAAATTCTTGATTCTTGATATAAGTAGATTTGCCATTCAGTCTTGATGCTGAGTGAAATTAACCATTTCCCCAAATTTCCAGCTCCAGCCTGCTTTGGCATGGTTGGTTGTTAGGGCCCCACTAGAATTTTTTTTTTCTATTGAGGCCTCGGTCGGTAGGATCCGTTTTGATTTCAACTTTCCTCGCACCTTAATTTTTAGACATACAATCATAAAAATTAACTAAAAATTAATTCAATCATAGATTATCCATAAAAAAATACTTCAATTGTGTGTTGGTTAGTCTATGATTCAATTAAAATAAATACCCCCACCGCAGCAAACCTGCCGACTAAGCAAATTTCCATTTGTATTATTGATTTTGAATTAAATCTATTTAAATAACATTAGGTTTAAAGATTTCCTAGGTTGCTACTATACAAAGGAAACTAGTGAAAGTGTGTTTTTAGTAAAATATTAATAGCTTTAGTATAAAATAAACAAATTTGCCAAGTTTGATCAAAATATATAAAGCGAACTACAACATTTTTCAATATTCTCCATCATAAAAAAAACATGGGAATTTAAAATTTGTTTGAATTTTCTCCATTACCAATAACATTTTGATATACAAAATTATTTGTTTTTTTAAGCATGAAACTTAATATAAACAAAGCAAAGACTGTCCTCGTAAACTTTACTCGTATCTGGTGGCAATTGGTATGACCTTAGCATACCCTTTATCGCCCTCAACAAATTCCTCAGAATGTATGTTGACCAATCCTGGCAGGAGGACCATGTTGACTACCGTACCTCTGTGGGAAATTATCATCACCACACCAAGTTGTACAAATAATTAGAGCTATCACCAATGAACATACAGAATTAATAGCCTATCACTAACTTTTTTCTCCAAATTTGCGTTATATGGAGTTGCCGCCTGGGGATCCACAGCAGCCAAGAACATGGAACGCATCCTCAGCATCCAAAAGAAGGCCATAACGACAATCTTTCAACTGCAATCCCATGAACACTGCAAGCCGAATTCCAGGGACCACAATATCATTACAGTCATTTCCCTGTACCGCCGGTTGGGATCCATCACACTCGACACCTACCCTAAGATCAGAACAACATTCATACCACCTACGTAACACACATGACATAACATAGACTTTCCACAACATCGATCGATTGCAGAAATTCAACAACAGTCCTCACTGTTATGGCTCTTACTTCTTCAATGCATTACCATCACAACTCAAAACCATTGAAAAACCTGCCACCTTCAATAGCAAACTGAAGCAATACTTAACAGATAGGCCATACTACACAGTCACCAACATTGAAGAGCACCTTCCAACACCTGAGACATATAGGCCTACAAAACCCATTTTTACCCTAGGAAGAAATGTGACAATTCCCCAATCCCTGGATTGTGGAGAAGACACCGGATGGTAAATAGTATGGATAAAATTAATTACTGGTATTGAATCTCAGGATTTGAACCCAGAATCTGGGATCCGAAGTCCCACCTCTTCTTCTGGTTGCAGTATTTTTTATTTGCAGGTCAAACAAAGCGTTAAAAATATTTGAAGTGTACTTAATTATGAGGGTACCCTAGATAAGAGTATGATTATACAGTTTGTAAAGTTAAATAGACCTATAATAGATTTACCTTTTTGTTTCCTAAGTTCTTTGTAGGTATGTTCTGTACCTATACCTAACCCACAGGCTGTTGCTTTTCGTGGGCGATTTTAACATATTGTCATGGATAGTTTAACGCTGTTTTAAAGTACGAATTATTACTTGTTGGCTAAATATTTTATGTTAAAACTACTCCCGCAACACACTTTATCAAAATTAGTTGATCGCAACAATATGAATCATCCATCAATTATATCTAAAGCTAATATAATTCAAGTTTTTGAAACTGGGATGAAAATAATTAAAAGCATAGGATAAGGATAGTATTATAAGTATAAACAAATGCTAATTAAATAACCCCATATGTTTGAGCAAAGTTTATTGGAGAACACAAATTGTTTTTGAGTAAGTTAAACCTAAGGGAGTATGATTTATCTATGGTTAAACTGTGTGGGTTATCGTCTTTGATTTTCCTTAAGATCATGATTTGTTGGTTTTCTAGTCTTCATCCAGAATTTTTTTTTATTGCGTTTTTTATTTTTCAATCTTCCTTTGTTTGATAAATTTCAACAGTTCATTAAATTCAAAATTCCATCATCTTCCGTGTACCTATGTTCAGGTTTATAATTTTCCCTTTGTTACAGAAATATTCATCCAGCGCTTGTTCCTTATTGGGGAGAGTTAGTCATGAAACAGAAAAACAATTATGTCAGAAATTTAAAAATAATAAACCATTCTTAAATTTGTTTATATTTCAAAATGGAGTCAAAACATATTGGAATTAATTTACGTCAAATTAGTTTGATATAAAAGTTTGTTTTTAAAATTTCCATTAAAAGATTATTGTCTTTAATTATCCAACACTGACTTTGTTATCCTAAAAAATATAATTGGTCAATTATATTTTCTCTTACATTTCCATCACTCTATTATAGGAAAAAACATTTGAGATCAATAATTTACGTTATTGAAAGTATGCTTTTCATAATTTTTTGTATGAATTGAAATTGAAATCACTTTTGTTGTTTCATGGAGTGCCCAAAAGTGATAAATGCTGTTTATTTCTTATTGTTCTTCTTTATCTTTGATCATAATGCAGAATGCTGGAGTACAAAAATGTGTAATTCTCTAATTCAGTTGTAAATTGTTTTTTTTTTTTTTTTAAGTAGGAAAACACATAGAAACTATATTCTGGACAGATCACCTCAAAGTTTTCTCCGAGTACCAAGGATTATAAGTGTCCAATATTTTATTAATAATGGGTTTTAATCTAGCAGAGCAGGTGGGCTGATCCAGAGCAAGCTGTAGCGGCGAAACTGAGAGCGACTGATGTCGCACACATGAAGCGAATAGCGAGAGCGATACAAATGGGGGCTCGATCAGTCCAAGATGTCACATAGTAAGTTTGCACACAATTTTTAGCACAAAGAAAACATGTGGTTAAAAACAATAATTTTGCGTGCTTCAAACCGATCGGAGTGGGTGCATGAAGTGAATGAAGTAAGTTAGGTGGATTGGTGGATAACAAATTTTCACAAGATCGTTGCCCGCTCTGCTCCCAAACGCTCGAAAAAACAAACAAGATTGTTCTAAAGTTAACCGCTCCGCTACACTCGCAACAGCTGTTTGTGTGCGCGTTACTACTTGATTGTTTGGGCTTGATTTTGTTTCGCTCTAAATTGTGCCGCTCCGCTCCCAATTGCTGTATGTGTGTTTTTACTCTAAGTGGTGCCTAGCCGGAGTCGCTATAGTGTCTATGGCAAAGTCCAACACCCTTACCCTCCATGTACTACACTACAACGCTCACGGTTTTAGAATTCCTGCACAGCGTTCACAGCTCAGGCTCTTCCTAGCTCATCAAAAGTATATTTCCAGCTCAACATTCCAAAGCTGAAAGGGCATGGCCGTCCCTTAAGTGTGTTTCCTCCGTTACTTCTCTATGACTGAACACTGAGTAGAAATTGAGAAAACACATCAATATTGAAAATTACTATTTTATTTACACATTCTAAACACATATATCTTACAATAATATAGAATATACATGGAATATCACCATAACTTACAAATCAACATGTAATACATAACAATATTAACTAGTACTTACATTTCTGTTATTCACCTTAAAGGAAAATGTTTTAAGTAAGATCACATAATAATTTTACTAACTTAACTTGAATTGAGGTTTTAAACTTTACATCACTTCAGTACTGTAGTTGGTGTTCTGTAAACTGAACCATTCTAATTTAATATTACAATTCATTTAATGTTCATTTAAGATCCCTTCTTTAACTCTTGGCAAAATCGTACATGACAAAACCTATGCATGAGTTTAGCTAATATATTTTGCTTTGTTCTTTTTTGCACCGTATTTTACTCCCTTAAATAAGTGTAGAAATTAATAGCTTTATTAAATAAACTATTGATAAACATTCTCACAAAACCTTCCTTGAATTCTTGAAATCATAGAAAAAACAATCCAAACCATTAACAACAGACTGACACCTAAAGAACAAATAAGTACACTGAGGGGTTAAACGAAAAAACAAAGAATATCAATATTGTCATGTCCCTTTTTCTTTTTTAGCAATAAGAACTAATTAATTTAAAGCTTGCACTAACTGGTGTGGTGAGTGTGTATTTAGTAATTAGTGTTTTACTGACCCCTCAGTAATCTCAGTCCTTTAACTTGTACATGCCTGACAAAAAGAAAAAACACTTAAAACTAACACTTTTTACAACAAATAGAAATGAAATAAGTAATAAGAGTTTGGAATGGAATGTTATTGGTGTTTGTATTTCCACTCAACTATAAAGTCTGTCTTTGTTTAACATCCTAACATTAATATATGTTTTATACTTGCAACAATAAGCTAAAATAAAAATTTATTTGAGTGGTCATGATTTATTGTATTCCC